TCGTACCAGAGAGGACAGGCATCGTAACGAATATTGTGTAAAGTCATCATGGGCAAAGAGCTCTGCGTATGAAGGATCTGTTTGAATATTGGCAATCGAGATGGAAGTATTGAAAACGTAGACGGCTGCCAAGGAGCGTCAACGCAAAAAGAACGTGGCAGCGAGCAGGTAGGCTAGACCGACCCTTCAATGGCCAGAGAGAACCGGTACCGTGAAAGCAGTGAGCGACCATATCCGGAAATATCAAAGCAAATAAGCCACCGCAATAGCTGCCAGTAGGTACCATTTTGGAGCGAGAGCTTAGGAAGGAAGGGCTCGCTGCTGTGCTTGGGCCTGGCAGTAGTCAATACAGCCCCCAACCTACGCAAATGGCCCCCATTTAAAAGAGCAGGGTTCCAAGTTAGCTTCATGAGGTCTACATCCTACACCCTGAACCCTAAACCGAATACCTCCCTTTATATTATGACATACCCCTACATAATATCTTTAAAGCTCCTCTTCGGGCAGGGACTTGAGGATTGTTCACGCCTCTTCTCCAAATCGTCTGCCTGGCGAGGTTTAAAAGTCCATCAAAAATGGAGGACCCTTATGGAAAGAGGGGATATCTGAGATTGTAAACGGATCATGGGGCCTCTATACAGAATCATGTTGTCATTACCTTGAAGAACTTCCTCCTGGCCAACTACTCACAGAATCGAAAGACATGCATGGCTCCAGGTGCTATTCGTTGTTTGAGGCTTCGCAGAGTTTGGGGCGATTCTGGGCCCAGGGGAGAGCTGCGTTTGAAGATTCCTCTACTACAGGGGCCTAAGTAATTACCAATATCATTTTGAGGTCCGTTGGAGGTACCATCTACTATAGATATACAAGGAATTTGGAACCATAAAATTGGTAATTATCCCTGAACCCTAAACCCTACCAATATTGGTAATTTTCTAAGCCCCTACAATATCACCATTTCGTCATGGGTTGTCTTACAAGCTGACAAGCTGCTAGCCTACAGTCAGACCTCCTGTCCTCCCTCCCTACAATCCAAGGACGAACAGGGGGTTGAGGGTCTAGGGCTTAGGGATAATTACCATATTCCTTGTATAATTATAGTCAACCCGGTACCGATGTTTAGATATGTTCCACATTACGTACCCCAAAATGTTCTGTGTGGAGGGTTTTTGTACTTTTTGTTGTAGATTTGTGGCTGTGCAAAGGCCAAAACTTGGGGCACAAAACCATCACCGCCTGTCATCTGCACTCGCCATGCAGCCGCACCAAACCGCACCGACCGACTTGACGGGCCATCTCACGAACCCCCAAACCCTCAACCAGCGTCAGTGGAGCTCTCAATCCAAAGGGCCACTGATGAAACCCAACAGTTCGACTTGCTTACCAAACCCAAATCCGCAAAACACCAAAAAAGTAGAAGTTAGTAAGTTTCTGTGGAATACCTCACACAGCAAGTTGGAAGAAGGCTCGTCGTGCATCCATTGTTCATCACCTCCCCTTTACAGTAAAACCTACCCACCCTCCCACAAGTTGACATCAGAATGGCGTTGGAATGTAAACGGGAGACACCTCTTGTGTTGCGCCTCTTGTATCGCTGTTATCAATCAGTTTTTTGTGAATCCCTATATGAACCCGCCAACAACTTTGCAAAGCCTACAGGAGGCGAATGCAGTAGCGGCCTGTTCCAAAGCCATTTGCGGCTCGAAGGCTAAATGCTTCGAGGATGCCTGCAAACAACAAGCGTGAACAACTAGTAACGCTTTTTGCTAAAGTTGGCAACGCTCCTAACTAGGTTATTGCACTGTAATCTAAGCACGCCCCTGTAGTGCAAAAGTTCGTTTAGGATGGAGGGGGTCGATTGTGGGGGTTGTGTAGCCTCTGCGTACACCAGAACCAAAACACAGAGCAAACGTTATGACATCAGTGGCCGTAATGATATGATATGGTAGTTTCCCAAAATAGGGGGACCCCAATATAGACCCCTAAATACTATAGTCCTTATTATGGGAATCCCCAAAATGGTACCCTTAATTTTGGGAAACCCCCATATGTGCATGCCGTGAAGGCAGCGCTGGCGCCAGCGGTGGTGTTGCTGAGTGCTTAGATGAACGCAGAACCTATCAGCGCTCATGCAGTTGTCAAGCAGGTATTGTACAAAGTGCTTGCGAGTTTTTGGTGGAAGTAGGTGATGCCAACAATGCATCACACCAAAACCACTTGCACCTCGACTGACCAGACAAGTCAAGCAGCAACACAAACTGAGGCTAGATTGAAGAAGCTTACTCTGAAAGCCCAGGCGTCCCCTCAAATGACATGCACAAACCATTCCCCTTACCCTTCATGCTCTCCAGCTATTCAACGCGTGAATTGCGGTGTGGATATCTTCGGCTACAGGGGTCCCAGGGTTGAGCACACTCTCGCTGCTACCTGCCTGATTTTCGGCCATCGAGTTAGCAAGCGCAACAGCTTTGGCTGCGTTGCTCAGGGCCAGCATCCCGATGCCATCGACATCTCGGCGCCACATTCTCTCAATCCCAGGCCGCTCAGAATCAATTAAAGTCTTCCTGTCATGCTAGAGCTTATCTACAAAGAAACTCCATGAATGAAACCTCTCAGCAAGTAGCAAAATACAAGTTGCGCAGAAGTCGGAGAAGCGTCACTGCCAGCATTTGCTTCACTATGCTTCCACCATCTGCAGAGAGCGCATGTGAGCGTTATGGTGGCTGAAGATACTGAAAATATGCTCTTCTGGTAGTAGATTGTAGCCAACAAAGACATACTCTCCTCGATATTCGGGGCTCCGGTGCCCTTCATTTCAGTACTGCTCATGTGTCATGGCTTAGACCCTAAAGGCCAAAATCTAAACCGTGCGGCTCATAGACCCCCAAGCCATCGACGGGAAAAAGTCACAAGTCCCTAGTGTGTACCCTTCATCCTGGCGCCCCCATAATCATCTTTCATCGAAGCCAAACAAATGCTTGTTGATGCTTAGTTTTTTTTTCTTGGGGGGTGGGGGGGGGGGTGGTGGTGTTCTTGGGTGAGGTGTAGGGCACCCTATGACCATTTTACATACCCCATTTTTAAGGGCCCCTGGAATCCAGCCAAACTTGGTATAAGGGCCATATCCAAACCCTAAGCTCCAAACCCCACCTGAACGGAAACCCTACACCCTAAACCTGAAATCCTTAGCACCCCGCAGCTGCAAGGTCTATATACACCCCCAAGGGTAGGGTCCAGGCGTGTCACTTCGGCACCCCGAAGTGCAGAGACCAGGATGCCACCTGGGTGTTAAGTATATACCTAGAAGGTTTTAGGGTTTGGGGTTTAAGGGTTAGGGTTTAGGGTATAGGGTTTGGGGTTTGGAGTTTAGGGTTTAGGGTTTAGGTCTTTGGGTTGGGTACTGCCCCCACCCTGTAACAATCTATATTCAAGGTCTTATCAAGGGCTATATCTAACTATATTATCAAATTATCCAGCTGTCACGGAGTGGGGGCAGTTCCCAATGTATACTGAAGGATTTAAGGTTTGGGGCTCCAAGTTCAGGGCTCAAGAGTTCAGGGGATGATGTTTCAGTGCATGAGGGTTCAGTTCACTGTTTAGGCTTTAGCGTTTCAGGGTCTAGCGTCTTCAGGCTTTGGGTATCCCAAATAGGCCATAATCATGGTCTAAAGCTTCAAGAAAATGGGTTATGTAGCTGTTATGAATATTTGGGAAGTCTAGCTATATCTCTATGTATACTAAAGTGTGTGTGTGTGTATGTTGCAGAAAATTCGGAATTTATGGGGCTGGTTTGGCTAGCGGAGAATCCCCAACAACCTCGGACACTAACCCTAAACCCTAGACCCTAGACCCCAAACCCTGAACCCCAAGCCCCAAACCCCAAACCCTAAACCCTAAACCCCAAACTCTAAACCCTAAACCCCAAACCCCAAACCCTAAACCCTTAACTCTTCCCACCAAGGCAAGTCGCCCGCCAGCCGCCCGAAGTTCACTCCCTCGGCCTCACGTCCGAAGCGGCTTCAGGATTGGTGGCTTAGGGTTTAGGGTTTAGGGGTTTAGGGTTTAGGGTTAGTACTGTAGGAGTCATCTGGTGGTTAGGAGTTCAAGGGGCTTATATAAGGGTTATATAAGGGTTATAGGGATGATTTGGGGGTTACCTCGACCCTCCAATGTAGTTCCTTTTTGGGTTTGGTACGGCTTTTTGGCTAGGACTCTTAGGACTACCAAAAAGGTACTGCATTGGAGGGTCTAGGTAGGGGTTAAAGGGGGATATAGGGGTTATATGGGGTTTATATAGCCCCTTGTGAAAATTTCCCAACAGTATTTTGGGTCTATGTTAGGGTCCCCCCCAATCTTGGGAAACTACCATTTTGAGAAGCTTGCACACGCCACAGAATCAAGAGCCTGAGATCGTTTTCATTGCCAATCAGGGCCGCGCGCCCTCGTCGGCTTGGGTGTCTACTTTGGAGATTTCAGGCCAGGAAGCGGGGGGGTTATAATTACATACAAGATCATACGAGAGAGGTGGTTATGACTTTGTTCTAGCTGGTTACGGAATAGCGTCCGTTTGTGTAGCAATGAACCTCCAAATGCGGTCGAAGTGCCGAGAGCTAAGTCTGATAGGGTCACCGCGCTGTGGGTAGCTGCAGGTGACTTGGTGGCTACTTCTTCAGCTTATCCCTGCTGCTTAGTAGGGCACAGGGCCAGGAATTATGAGGCATTCCCCCATGCCCTACTCAGCACTGGGCAGGCTTCTGCAAGAGGCTGTTCCTCTGCATCAGGCGTCGGGAGGGCTCTGCTCTCTGGTGCCTCTCAGTTTATGGCCTCCACGTAGCTGCAGCCTGGCCAGGGCTCACACACTGCTGGGCAACCTTGCCTACCCAATGCTTTTAGTTCACGTGATGTTCTGCACCTTTATGTTCTGAGTGCAGAGCAAGGCCTCCATGACAGAGGCAGAATAAGTCATTTCACCCTTGTGCACGCGCTTTTTTCCACCTCTGTCACATCTCTGCGTCCTCGTCCTCCTCCCCTTCAGATCCAGCCGCCAAGTCCGTTGCAGCAATTCGAGCACGTGGCTGCAAGGGTAGGGAAGCAGAACTGCAGAGGACCTCAGACCACTGGATCACATGCACGAAGCTGATCCCGAATCCTATCTGCAAAACAATACCCTGCACTTCCATCTCAGTCTGAGGTAGCGACGCCGCGCCTTGGGCGCCGCAAGTTTTGCCACAGCGCTTCTCTAGCGTTCATGGTGAGGGAGGGCCTCTGCTGGATTGGACCCAGTTCGAGGAACCGCCGGGCAGACCTGGCTTGCAAAGTCTTCACCACTTCCTGGGTTGCTGCTAACAAGCCTTAAATTAGGGTTTAGGGTCTCGGTTAACATGATAAGAAAAACCCTGTTATTTACTGCTGTATATACTATATACTCATGTCATGGCAACTTAAATGAAGTTCCTTAATAGCAACCCAGCATCATGGTGGGACAGAGACACGGCCACATCCAGGGCAGTCGTCCGGTCTGCCCACTCGTCCGGGTCCACCCCGGCCGCCAAGAGCAGCTCGCAGACTTTGACGTGACCGCCCTGCGGACACAGTTGAGGTTTGACTGGTGGCTCTGGGAAGTTGATCTAAGGGCAGGTCCAGCTCAAGTTACATGTGCTAATCAAGGCTCAGAGGAGACTGGTGTCCTGCGCGGCACGCATCAGCGGAGTCCAGCGACCTCTCGCGGTCTGCGTCGCCACCGCACGAGCCCGGAGCAAGGTCTCGGCTATGTCCAGGTGGCCAGCCTGCGCGGCCGAGTCCAAAGCACTCTGCCCGTTGATCCTTTGCTCAAGGTCGGCGCGGCACTGCAGCGCCAAAGTTACCACGGCTGCATTACCATTTTGTGCAGACACCGTGAAGCACCTGCCCAAAAGCCGTGACCTTCCGCCACGGCAGCTGGTGCTGCGGCCCGTTGCTCTGCCCATGACAATGAAGGCCGGCTTCAGCATGGCCAGGCTGCAAGGGCTGCGGGCTGCCTGCCGTGTTTGCAAAGTTTGCAAACCGCAAGTCCCGGATGTCTCAAAAGGCTGAAGATATGTTAGCTGAGCCAAGGGGCAATGGCACTCCTCAGCAGATGCCACATCGGGGATGTCAGGGCGAAGGCATCCTCGGGCAGTGACATGACCAGGCCCTCGCGTATGTCCAGGCGTGAGAGGAAGCGATGCGCGGCCCCGCAAACTTTGGAACAACACAAAAGCCTCAGTCAAACAACCGCTTTCCAAGTACTACCCGCAGCACATCCTAGAAGGGGAATGGCTACTCGCGCTCCAATCATCCATGCTTGCAATAAGCCATCTTGTTAGGAGTCCTGTCACCCTGCCAGCTGGCGTTATAGCCGTGACTAGGGCTGGGTCCATTCCTTCGGCCACAGGTGCTCCAAGATCTGCAGGCGCAAATCATCGCTAAATCCATCCGCCCACAAGTCCATGGCTTGCTGGAGTCTTCTGGGTATGAACAAACCTGGAAACTGGCGGTGCTATGCGAGAACTGTCGATGGACGCTCAGCAGAAAGGTTCCAAACCTCTGCTTTTGCCCGTCATTTATGGCCTCGTTCAATCTAGCGGGGCGTCCATCTCTTGAAAATCCTGCTCTTGTTTGTAGCATGCAGGGAACCTCATCTCGGCACATACTCCAAAACCCTGCCGCCGAAGCTGGTAGGAGCATCAGAGCCGCGGCGGAACAGGATGAAAGTGTGAGTCCCTGTGAAGGTGCAAATACCATAATTGGATTAGGCTGTGGGGATGTCGTGCAGTACGGAAGACTCATATTATATACTACACCATCGCCACAAACATACCAATCAAATTACTTTAGTCGTCGGTGTCTCAAATGTCCAGGGTCGTTGTTTGGACTGGTTGACTAATGCCCTACATCTTTGACCCCGGACCTGGTACACAGGTCTCGAGATCAAACATGGTCGACACAGCTGTCATCACTGGTACACTCTGCTTCTACGTAGGATGCTCACGCAAGCCTCTTAAGTGTCAGGATCCTTCTGAACACTGAACCTTCCGTAAGAAGCTATACTTGAAGGTGTACTGTAGGCCTTGTGTGAGCCTTCTCGCGGAACTTGCGGCTTGGCGACCACACGACCTTCAGCTCCTGCGTGGATTCATGGTGGAGCGGGCTTGTGTCTTGGTCATGGATCTATGATCTCCTCAAATGGACACCCTGTAGAGCGAGAGGGTCGGCGAATTCACCAAGGAACCCTGCACACTCACCAAAGCCTACAAGCAAATCTGTGGCTTCTGTGTGCGTACTCCAAGTCTTCGGCCCTCAGAGGTCCGGTGGAGAATCTGCACAAATACAAATGGCTGCTCTCTTCTCTCTGCTGCCATGATGGAACCGGCCCATGACAAGTTTCTATCTCCCTTGTAGTCTGCCATTGAGAGTGGGTAGGGGCACTGCAGAGACCCTAAACAACTGAATTGTTTCCGGTTGCAAGAGGCATCTTCACTGAACACTCAAAAGAAGGCACCCACAACTTCAGGAAAGCACCATCCTGGCAATGAATCAATGAATCGTCTGACTACTTAGATATTCATACCATCATACAACATGCCTGCATACATATAGTCCCCCTTAAGTAGATAGAATATGGGGCATATGGGGATCTTCTTATGCTTTACCTAAAGCCACATTCCATCTCCTTAAGGGGGACTATTGTAGTTATGTGCAGAGACTGCGGCCGCTCCCTGTCATCCATCGGATCAAAGCCACGGCAACGTTGACTTTCCCAACCTCTGCGCACAATCCCTCCACCATCACCACTACTTGGAGGATCATGGGGACTTAGTAACTAGGTTAGTAATGGGGATACTTGGGGCTGTTATATGGGTTATAGGGGTTATTAACCTACTTACTAAGTAGCTATGCTGAAGCCTGTCTATGGCAGCTCGCGCGACAGAATGGCACCTGCAAAGCCCCCCCGAGCTCGAATCCAAAGAACACCTGAATGGCAAAGCCAGAACTGAAAGCCCTAAACCCTCAACCTTTAAATCCTAAAACCTGTATCCTGAGCCCCAAACACTAAACCCGAAACCTAAACAATGATGAGCATTGCCGGTATTGGGGTTTCCATAGATGGGGGGACCCCAATTTAGACCCAATTAACTGTGGCTGGAGTAATGCCCCTATATATCCCTCCCTGAACTGTGTATGAGCTACACAGCTAAACTCTTAGCATACCCCTCGAAAGTCCCCATAATGCTGCCTTGTATACTCCCTTAAGGAGTTCAGACTATAGCTCATAAAACCCCAAATTTCCATACAATGTCAGGCAGCAAGGAGGCCGCGGCCCAGCGGTAGAAGTCCAGCGAACTCCGAAGCGTGGCCTGGTTCAAAGGTTTAGGGCTGAGGATTCTAGGGTGGGAATGATGGCTATTGTTCTTACTGCTTCCACTTCTAAAACTACTGCTTTAAGCATTATCCTTTGCAGCAACATTGTGGCTGAAGTTTTGTGACTTCTATTATTCCTGGTAGACTTCTACTGCTTGTGTTTATGGCTTTGGGATTTCCAGGTGTACATCACGAGTACCTTTCAACTATGTGCCTTACAGGTTTCATCTTCCAGCTGCAGCCATTTCAAAGGTCTGCACGAACAAAACCTGTAACAAGTTTGAGGCTTAAAGTTACCAAAGTTCGTACTACGATCTTGTATCACTCTTGCATACTAGAACACCAGCATTCAAAAGGTACAAGGGGTCATTCAAGGTTTTTAGCGTCCACCGTATGAAGGCCTCGGGGCTCTGCACTAGGGTTTGGAGATTGGATTTTGGCCTCCGAGCTAATTTGTGCTAGCCCCGCAAAGGAAGCCTCTTTGCACGTCTCTTCTCCTAAATGCCAGCCCGCAGAACTCCAGACCCTAAACCCTTCGCAGCCGAAAATGCCCAAGAATGAGGTAGGTTTAGGGTTTAGAGTTGCACCTCAGTCAGCACTATAGACCCTAAACCCTAAACCCATCAAGGACCCTAACCACACACACCCAAGCTTTGGCCTGGTTGTAGGCCCTCATGCCCCTCTTGGTGTCCTCGGCTTCGAAACTTCGTAGCTGTGTCAGGAGGTCCGGGACACTCTGGAAGTGCCCAAGGCTGGGATACCTGAGTCAAGGACCGCCGGGGGAGAGTCTTAGGGTACCTAACAAACGGAGAGATACAAAGGGATTGTAGGGGGGGCGCTTCGGGAGTTGTGTAGGAAATTGTTTGAGGCTCCCGTTTCAAGTGAGAAATCTTGAAGAGTTTAGGGAGTTAAGGGGCACATCGGAAAGACCTGGAGGATGTATGAGACAGTCAGGGTTTGCCTGGCCTGGTTTAGGGTTTAGGGTTCAGTGTTTGGGGTAGAAGCGTAATCCCGCCATTGGTTTCGCTTCTGTCTGCCCCTTAGGAGAACCGGAAAACCCTTGGCTGGAAACATCAAAAGCCCTTGGCTGGGGCCCTACGTAAGCCTATGAACTACGAAGGCTCATATGCCCACGAGGTTGAGGACTTCAGGGTTCTTACTTGTGCAGACCCTTACAGCTTCTTAAAGTTTACCATCACAGAACGTCAGCGCTGAAAGCCCACGGCTACCTCCCCAACCTCCCAAACCGCCTACTTCCCCGAACTTCCTGTTAGGGTTTTCGCTTAGGGTTTTAGAGTTTAGGGTTTTGGATTAATGGTTTCATGGTTTCATGGTTTCGGGTTCAGGGTTTAGAGTTCAGGTTAGGGCGTGAAGCGACACACAGCACTTCTGGACGCTGTTAATGCATGGACAAGCTGGGCCCTGGGCTGCTCAAACTCCGTGAGGGAGAGCCAGTAAGCGGCCTCTGCTTCACTCTTGTTCATAGGGAATGAATGAATAAAAAATGAAGGGCAACTATCACATCCATGTACTACTATGCAACATTACATGATGAAATTTGTGAGAGAGAGGGAATGGACCCTCATAACAACAATGAAATGCAGCTTTCACGAAGCCTGGGCATATTCGGGGACAAGGATGTAGGACGTTTCTGGAATTCTAGAGGTCCGCCTGAGGACTGTGTGGCCATCATGATACACCCTTTAACCCAATGCCGCATGCCCTGCAAACACGAGTTAGGGTGAAGGTGGCGTTGGGTTTGGGGGCGTACTTCTTCAAGATTTGGAGTGTGGGAAGGCTGCTAGCTCCAGGGTAAAGGGTTTAGGGTTTAGGGTTTCAGCTGATGATTTCTTTGCAGCCTCGGGCTTCGGGCATTGCTTCAAAGGAATGCGGCCCTTCAACCACAAATTCCACGCGACTGGGACTCCAAGCCATGGACTCTTCATGGGGTTCCCGGGAAGTAGCAACTACTTGTAACCAGGCTAACATCCCTACTTACAATTCCCTCTAACTGGACATATGCACCTTTCTCAAGTATAAGTAGGGCCATAAGCCACTTATAAGCCCCACCAACCTTCAAGCACGCCCTTAGTCTAGTAAACACCAAAAAACCCTGCAACCTAACCATGGTGGCCTGCTCCCGTCCGTCGTAGGGGTCGGTTCCAATCCAGGGGTCATAGGGTATCGGAAAAGGTGCCAAGCCAGCGGAGGGGAGCTGTGCCCTGAGAAGGGCTGAAGGGGACTCGGAGTGTAGGATTTGGGGATACTATGGTACCCAACATTACCCCAATAATGGAGAATCAAATGGAAAAGAAAATGGAAAATGAAATGGACTATAAGGGTTATATAGGGGTTATGTAGGGTATATATTGGGGTTATATTGGGATAATGGAAAAGAAAATGGAAACTACTATGGGAAACGGAGTGAAGAGCTGAGGTTTTAGGATTTCAGGGTTTGGGTTTGAAGTTTTGGGGTTTAGGCTTTTGGGATTTTAGGGCTTGAAGGTTTCTTTCGGAGAGGACTTGTCATGCGCAAGCTTTCGGACTCGAGGGAAGAACACGGCGCTGGGCGGAACGTAGAAACGATAGGACGAATAACATGTCATTTCTTTTCTAGAAAGGATACATATGGTGGTCTGTGCAGACCATAGAGCATGGTCTATGGAGGGTACTCCATTAGGGGGAGACATACGGGGCAGGGGTGAGACTGGAAACCTGAAAAAAATAGAATTTTGGGGGTTGTCTCAGTCTCTTGAGCTGCACCTCACAAGCTAGCTTTGCTTGGGGATTGTCAACCCTATTACCCCAAATGGAGGTTTCCCAAAATTAGGGGTACCCTTTTTGGGGGTCCCCATAATAAGGATTATAGTATTTTAGGGTACATATTGGGGTCCCCCTATTTTGGGAGATTACCAAATCGTTGCTCCTCGTATCTTAAACTCAGGCTCAACTTGGGCAGGCTCAGCGGTGCTGCTGAGACTCTTGACGTTGCGTGCTCGTATGTGCCACCAATTCTGATCAGAATGTCTGAGGGACCAGAGCATCGTGCTGACCTCAACTCGCAGGAAAGCTCTGCCTCATGGTGCAGTGTACAGTAGACAACTTAGCCCCGATGCCCTGACACTAAGGGAAGAGCAACCCAATGACGGTCCGGCACGAACAAGGGCACGAGCATGGTGTAGAGCTCGCTGAACAACATCATCATCACATCCCAGGGCCTGGGCTCAAAGATTGAAAATTTGAGCTTTAGGCGGGAGATTTACGCTTCGGTCGAAGGATTTCAGGAGCTTGGGATGCGGATGTGAAACTGTGAGCCCCTGTGGAAGGTCTGTATAGGGGTTATATAGGGATAATTGGAAAAGAAAATGGAACCTACTGTGTTATAGTAGGGTATATATTGGGGTTATATAGGGAGAGTACTCAAAACTAAAGATGCAGGAGAACCTTGAGTACTCTTGGTAGCCCAGTAACCATATTNNCCAGAACCCAAAAAGGGTAAACGGGTACCACTGGGGTTCCTAGTACTTCGCCAAGCGACCAGAACACGCAGGCATAGAATTGCGACATCTCCTCTGAACAGGTGAGGGACAGCCAACAAAACGCTGGTGGTTGGGAGGGATCCGCGCAGACGTAGGCTCCACAAGCAACAACAACGAAATACAACTGATCGTGGTAGAAATTTCTGCGCCTCTATCAACAGTTGACGCCGCTGAGGCAGCGGCGACAGCAACGAACGAGGTAGCAAGAGCAGTGAAAGCATTAGGATGCAGCAGAAGGCAAAAGAGAGGCCAAGGATTCGCAATGTGAAGCAGAGATTCGAAGTCACAACCTGCATTGACAGCAACCATTAGCTTCATCCGCATCACCAAGATTCAGCCCGAAAAATGAACAAGTAATCCTGGGAAACAGCGACGCCGTCAGCTTTCTGAACATGACCCGTATACAGTCCTTCAAAGGAACCAACATAAACTTTTGTGAGCCGAAACATTCTCCCGGGATCCATAGGGACCACCCTGTCAAAGTTGTCACTCCATAGTGCTGCCTCATAGGTGACAGCAAAGATGGTCGAGACTGCCCTGGCAGTGCAGGCACAAGCTGCGACAGTTTAGAGCGCGGGGTCAGGGTTCTGTCCCGAGCGTGGACGTAGACTTGTATCCAACAGTGCATCAGGTGTCCACTAAATCACTGTGTCCACTCATAGTACCCTCTCTGCACGAACATCAAAGCAGCTCGCATAACAACTGCACGCTACCTGAACTCTAGAAGCCTCTAAGCTTGCTGTCTGCGTACTGCGCGGACATTGCGAGGAGCAGTGAACAGTGGTGCAGTCACCAAACTCCTAATAACAAGCAGTTAGACACAACCGTATCACAGACATGACCTTCGGGAAATGCAATATTTTTTGTAGACCAGTACCTTTACAGCAAATCCGTTAACTGTGGGAATGAAGAGCTGAGATGATCCACCCATCCACCCAGCCGCCCATACAGACATAGCTACTACCTACCTCCCTGCGTGCATAAATGCATCCATGCAACCATTAAGACCACACGTGCGCAGGTCTGCTGGTATATGTACACGTATCTACAGGGTTGTTGTTAAGGAACCTAAATTAAGTTACCAGAATGGGTATATTATATGGTACATAATAATAATAAGTCTTCCTCAAAATAATAAGTTAAATTAAGTTCCTTAACAGCAACCCAGTCTACTGGCAGGCATCGCGGGATCCAAAATGGTAAACACGCTGGATGCAGGGTGCCTGACCCGAATGCTCAAGAAGACGGGCTCAAAGGGGAAGCCCCCCTTCTGCTGTTCCTGTTTAGGGTTAAGGGTTTAATGTTTAGGGTTTAGGGTTTAGGGTTAGTACTTCAGGACTGGTGGTTTAGGGTTTAGGGTTGAAGCTTTAGGGTTTAATGTTTAGGGTTTGGGTTTAGGGTTTGGGGTTTAGGGCTTAGGGACCTTGGCTGGAGGAATGAAGCCCCACCTCGCCTCTGAAACCAAAAATACTTACTGGCCCTTCGTAGGGAATAATGGAATAGAACCCCTGTATAAAAAACTATACAATATACTCCAATATTCCCTACTGAGAACCAGTCAGAATATTGGGGGTCCTATATCAGAAAAGGGTTGGAAAGGATGTCCGCCCTCCTCCAGCATACATCAGATTAGGGCGTCTATCGAGACCCAATGCAGGGTCAGAATAATGTCAGTGCCTGAGGGTGCCTGAGAGGGGTTGGAGGAGGGTTTGCGCAAAGCCCATGCACCCAAACTGCGCCCAAAACCCCTAAACCCTAACCCCTAATCCCTAAACCCTAAACCTTACCCCTAAACCCTAAACCCTAAACCCTGAACCTTAATTGAACCCGTAAACAGCAAGGGATCTCCTCGCCAAAGAAAGACCAAAGGAGCTCCAGCAATGCTGGCCCAGCTTGGCCTCGGTGAAGTTGGGATGTAGGGCTAGGAGGTTGGAAGGTTTCATCCCCTCCCCCTACTATAGGGTTTAGGGTTTAGGGATTAGGGATTAAACCCCCCACCCCCAAGCACCAACTTTGTAACCTTGGTGTTGCTACCGAAGAACCATGCAGGCTGAAAAAGGAAGACGAGGCACCAGACCAAACCCCCAACCGGGAGAACATGATCCTGTGTCGGCCGTCGCGAGACGGAACCTGTAGTTTCACACACAGAGGCTCAGATTCGGGGCTGACAAGAAGATGAATGCTTCAGTTGCGAATTGCGGCAAAGCTTAAATTAAAGGAAGGATCCTGGATGTAGAAGCCGCATCAAAGGAAATGGACTCTACGGATCCGAGGAGCTGGATTGTGGGTCTGGTTGGTGTATAATCCGTGCACGCGCTGCACGGGCACTGGGAGGCGAACCTGTGATCAGGAGCTTTCAGGGTTTGGGGGGTTGGGTTTGGGGCTTAGGGCTTTCAAGCGCAGCATCAAATGGAAAATGAGATGGAAACTGGTTCAAGTAAGGCTTTCCTGGGATTAGAGGTGCCATTCTGGGAGTGGAGATGGAGTTGCAGCTGGGTTAATTAATTTGGAGTTCACAGGGATTGTACTGTGAAGGTTGTCTAAATCATGGTAAATTCTGTGTATACCCTGAGCCCTAAACCCTGAAACCTGAATACTAGGGGCCATCTTATCATGGGGTGTTGGCAAGGGACCATACTTCTGCCAACCGAGCTTTCAGGATTGAGGTCTTTGGGCGTAGGCTCCGGCAGGAATTCTGCTTTAGGTTTCAGGATTTGGGTTTAAGCTGGTAATATCAAAAGATACCTCTGTACGAACCGTGAACGCTGATACCAGGCTGCCAGGGAAGATTTATCGTACTCAAAGAGCCTGAACACATCATAGCACTGGATTTAGGGCTTCGGGCCCGAGTTTTCAATTTGATTTTCCACTGTCCTTTCCATTTCATTCTCCAGTATCCAGGCCCTGAACCCTAAACCCCAAACCCTTAGTCCCAGCTTCCCGCTTCACCACCTGAACCTCCGATCCCTTCTTATAGTCACTGCCTGCAGGGCAAACTGGGTAGCAAGAATCCAGTTGGCAGCAACCTTGGCTTCTTCCATCCCCTCTCCCCAATAGGGTTTAGGGTTTAGGGTTGAATATTTTCCAATAAAGTTACTACGACAACATATTTGGAGTCATCATGTTACGAGGCGGTTGGGGGTTTGCTATAAGGGGGAGGGGTTTAGGTAGTCAAGAATTGGTCGCGATGCTCCCCCAGGACTGGCCTTCCCCGATGCCGAGTCCTCTCAGCCATCATACTAACACGCATAGCTTGAACACGACTACCTCAAATCAAGCCTCTGAGCAGTGAAAGAATTCATGGCTGAAAATTCAAGCCTTTAGGACTATCGCGCACTGCAAACACCTACCTGAATTCAGAGCCAAAAACCACCCCTGAAGCCATATTCCGGAACCTGAACCAAGAGTCCCTATGTGAAAGCCGTGGTGCCAAGATGGCGGGGGGTGAGGTAGCCTGCCCAAGAGTCTGGATCTGCAGCAGGAATTGTGACCTGATGAGTCTGGGGCTTAAAGGAGCTTAGGGTTTTTCTGAGATCTAGGGTTTAGGGCTTGGGACCTGGGGTTTGGGACTACAGTTTCGCTCTGGAAACCGCTAGTCTCTCTGGATCATGAGGGGAGTGCCTGAAAATTGCAACGTGCATGAGCACATGAAACCCCATTAATTTGATGTCATGTCTGACAAGAACAGATAGAGGCTTTCTCATGGCTGGGTCGTGGACAAACGGAAGCGATTGGGAAGTTTCTCAGAACCCTAAACAATCCGAGGGGAAAACCCTGTAATCTTCATAGGTCCCCCATACATCCCTGATTAATACCTCGAACAACAACCACGAACCGCGGAGCCCACACCCTGACAACCCAAACCCCAAACCCCTGACCATAACATCCAAAACCTGCTTCCCAGGGTTCGGGATTCGGGGTTTAAGGTCCTAATCACAAAGCGCAACAACTCGGAAGACCGAAACCTAGCCCTAAACCTTTAACCTTCACCTGCCCTAAACCTGCAACTTCACAATGCTCGCACTGGCTTGGATTTTAACACCGTGGCAGAAGTAACATTATGGTAACCGCTAGCGCTGCTTAATTCATCTTTATTTCTGAGCTGATGACCCTTCCTCCTTCCGATAGTACGGTGCCTGTTCTTATGGCTAAGAAAAGCTGCATGATCACCGTTTTTGCTGCAGTTGCCATGTTCTTTTAAACAGCACCATTGGTTGCAAACCCCTGTCTTCCCACTCTTGGTATTACCAACCTCATCCGTATTTCTAACTTCAGTATGCTGCATCAGCATTACATCCCAACCAAGAAAAACAACTACCGCCATGGCTGCTTGTGTCATCGGCACCTGAGGGTCGGTGGGATGTACGGCACCAGCGGCCAGGCAAAGTACAGAAGCATCGGCATCGCCTTGCAAACCAGATAGGGAGTGTGAATCAAGGTTCGGGTCGAGGCTTGGGCGTCAGGGTTTAGCTTGAAGTTCATTGTTGATATGAACAACCCTGCATGACCGTAGTATACTTCAGCACCATAGTTCCCGAGGATTAAGGTACTAAGGGTCATGCAGGATGACCGTCTGGTTCGGGCTTAAGTGCTTAGGGTTTAGGGGTTGCAAGGAACCTGTAGTAGCAGTTGCCCTTGCTATCTGTCTATCCGGCCCGGCCTGCACGGACTCCATATGTGGAGGGGTGGGGCGGCGGGGTTCCACAGAAGTTGCTCGCGGTTGGGGGGGGGGGGGGGGGGGGGNNTTGCTCGCGGTTGGGGGGGGGGGGGCGGGGAGGGCGGGCTGCACTATCATGAGGAACTGCGAAAATCTGGGGGGAAGGGACATTTAAGGGGCACCGCATTTTGAAAACCCCCTAACAGGTCCCTGTTTTTCAGAAACACACCAAAACTAGGCTTCCAAACTACATCTGTTACGAGTTCTACTGTTAATACTAAAAACCCTGACCACCGAAATTTCCAAGCTGTAAACGTACTTAGGATCATGCAGGATTTTTAATGTCAACCATATGGCTAATAATCCTGATAAGCCCCCCAAGAAATGCTCCTAGCTTCCCATTTCCTGCTCCAGTTGAGACTCCATTCGTAGATGCTTCGGGAGTGGTCAAATATCATATCCCTTCCAACCTTCAGCCCTAAACTCTGAAACCCTGAACCCCAAAAACCTGAACCCGAAACCCTAAAACTCCTAAACCCTAAACCCTAAACCCTAAACCTTAAATCCTAAACCTTATCCTACACCTATCAACCGTCTCAGAGGTATTCGGCTAAACCGCCCCCGGCTTCGGGGAGCCAAATCTCTAGGCATAATGATGGGCTGCGTAGGGAGACTGAAATTAAGGTTCTGTGCTTAGGGTGTAGGACTTAGCGTTACATTACCACGACTGAGAATCAAACGAAAAAAGGAACATGAAATACAGACAGGGCTATAGAGAGGTTATCTAGGGTGTTAAGGAACTTACATTAAGTCATCACTACAAAGAAAACATCATGACTTGTGTAGATCCATACCATGGTGACTTGATTGAAGTTCCTTAAAAGCAAGCCAGGACTGCACGTGGTAGTTTTCGAGAATTCGGGTCTCCCATGTACACCCAAGATACTCCAGTCCTCATCCCACATCGGAACACAACTGTTGGAAACCTCCATGTGAGCTATAGTCTAAACTCCTAGTATTCCCATTAATTAAGCCCTGGAATACTCTCCGAGATAATCCCCGATTTAACCAGACTTTCAGGAATTTAGACGACAGTTCATGTGGATTCTGCACACTGGCTGCAAAGTTGAGATCTTAGGCATCATGGAACTACGCCGGGAATTGTTCAGTGGATTTTGGTTACCCCAACCTCCAGTATAAGGACCCCACGACAACTGCATGACTCTTACAAGTCCTGAGTGTAGGGGTTGGGGTTCCCAAAGTCCCTTAGTACCCCAAACAAGATTGCACCGTGCAAGCCCGGTTTCCATGTCATTGTCCACTTAGTTCTGCATCATTAGCCCTAAAACCCTAAATCCTAAACCTAAACCCTAAATCCTAAATCCTAACCCTAAACCAAGACCCTCTCATCATGAATCTTCGGGATTGCGTGCGGCCGGCCTTGACGGCCCGCAGCATGGAACAGAACCTCAAACTTACTAGCGGTTTGTAGGGAACCAGGGAGTATACTGTACCGCTTTGGAATAATATGGGAATTATATTCCCTTCTTCCCTACTAATCACCAGTGAGCTAAGAAACTCCTGGGGAGCGAAGGGCGCAGGATTGTGCTAGTTGCTCCCGACTTCAAGTGCCAATACGACTGTGGTCCGAACAAGCATCTTCTCTGCAAGAAAACACAATTTAGCCAAACATCACCACGTGCGACACCCCCAAATACTTCAGCAAAGTGCGGGAAGCCTGTTGGACTGCCAGTGGGTTCTCTCCAAACCCTGCACCAACCCCGAACAGCGCACCACAGAAAGCCCCAAAAAGAAAGCAAAGTTCCATTAATTACCCTCATACAACTGCCATATCTGAATGTAGAGCCTTGGATTGCCAGCCCAAAGGCCAAGCTGGACCTCCGCAGACCACCAGGTGCACGTTGGACAGGAAGCTGTCCGACCGGACAATCTCTGCCAAACCTCAGGGTCTGAGAAGCGTAGTATGCCCGAGTAAATCACACTGGCATAACCAGACTGATGTATCAGCAGGGTTGGGATCCTACTACGCGGGCCCTCTTGAGCCTTCTTTCAATCAGCAGAAGAAGGGGGAAAGCCTGCCTTGGGCAATAAATTACTTTGCTTCAACGCCAATTGCAGTACCTCAAATGACCAGGTCCAGCAGCATGGATGCTTTTGCATATATATACGTATGTATAAGTATATATATATATACGTGGATTCATGCTAACCTCGGCCCCATACAGACAGAGAGTACGTACATACATACATACATACATACATACATACATACATACATAGACGTATATACGAAGAGTGCTCGTGAAGACAGGGTGTACTTGTGAGAATCCTGAAGCCCTGGAACCGTCCAATGTAGAAGCCTACATAAGGACCAAACTATCCCCATATAATCCTTATATAGCCAGAGTATAGCCGGCCCCCGTTAACCCTTTCCAACTGTTCGGCTCCAAGGGCGGATACAAAAAAAAAACTCGCATGACCCCAACAACCTTCTACCTTGCGAATTCTGGTACTCAAGTATAGTAAGGTGATGCAGGATTGTTAATATCAACAGTACACCACTGCTACTGAGGTGCTGTCCAGTGCTTCCGGCCACTTCTCATGCATCCTCGGGCTACACATTTCAAGGTGCGAATAATGCAGGGGGTTTAGGGTTTAGGGTTTAGGGTTTAGGGCCCCAAATAGGTTCTTGGTAGCCCAGTAACCATACTACAATAAGGGTACCCTTTTTTCTGTTGGT